TCCTGGAGCTGTTGAGTAAGACGGTGACGTTGGACAGTTTGAGCGAGATGGTGTTGGTGGATGTAGAGACTGACGCATAGGCTTGGACCATACTATACATTTGATATGATAGAACATTAGGATTTGACTAGACAAATAGGAAAGACTACCTAGACCTGCAATGGTTGCTCTTGCCTTCCGGAGAATGAAAACAAGTAGTAGTATTGTAGTACTGCATTCTAGTAACGTATTCGACTAATGCTCTTATGCCATCTTGCAAAATAACAATATATATCTAATACTAAAGCCACCGATCATGACACATTAGCATTACGCTCACTACCGGGCTTTAGATTTGGTCTGCAATGTATACGCCAGTCCTTGACAGCGCTTCTGCAACACCGAGAAAGTATCATGATGGGTCCTCCACCCACAACCATCAATTATCGGCCCCAATAACCGCAGCAGGCTCACCATCGAGGCCACCCGCGTGGTCAACAAGCTACAAGTCATGTTGATATCATCCTCATCATCCAACAATACCGGCACATCGCCAAACGGCAAATTGGCCAGTTGCACAATCTCCCCAAGCTGATCCATTTCCGAGCGCGCCTCGGATGCATTGACGAAACTGCTTCCGGTCGACGAGGAGGTCATACTCCTACTTCGCAATCGCCTCTGGTGCGAGTCGTGAAAGGTCTCAAAACAGGTCAGACACTGGTCGCAGACAGAACAGAGCAACATCACGAACAGTGGCTCACGCTTGCACGAGGAGCATTCGATGAGCCGATGGCACTGATTTAGGGCCAACTTGCAGGCTTTAAGGATCAGATGAGCCATTTCGCGCGAAAGGCCCGCGCTGGCACCACATTGGGCACGCCACTGCACGGCGCGGATACTTTCGTAGAGGGTCAGGGTAGACTGGAGACATGTGCACGAGGGCATATGCAGATTTGCGATGCTCGGGCTACTGGCTAATTGGGATATCCCCGGGATCCCTAGACGGGATGTTGAAGAAGAGAGACGTGGCATGGCGGGGCTAGGGTTGGGAGGATACGACAAGTTCACGAGCTCCGGCGTACTGGAAGCGGCCAGCTGTGAAAGGAAGAGCAAGTCCTGGTTGACGTCGTTGCTGGCAAAGTCTGTATGGCCGAAGTCAGGTAGCAGGCTGGATATATCATCATCGGGTGTCATGGGTATGTCTGAAAGCTGCACTTCGGCCCCTAACTCTGTTGCTGGCTCGTGCATGCTGGTCAAGAGCTCGGGGTCCAATCCGTCTTCGCCCAGGTCCGATGTGGCATGAGGTGTGCCTCCATTCAAACTACCGGGCCCCTCACTCCTTCTTCCACCTTGCTCTTTCTCTTCTCTATACCTAATGCGGGCTTTTGCTGCTTCCGATGAATGACTTGCTCTTCTCGAACCGTCCGAATTCTTCGGTGCAGCAGAAGCGGAGGATTGATCTGTCGAATCTTCGACCTCTCCGTTGTTCTTGTTGTTGTTCAAGCTGGCCCCTCGAGGACGTCGACCTCGATGAGGGTTAGCTTCTTGGTACTCGCAAGGAAGTCCTCGATCGAGACACCGCTGACATCCCGTTCGCTCTCCGGTGCATTTCAGCTACACTGGGAGGTCAATTATTTACTCATAGGGCATGGTGACATCGTTTGCTCATTATTCTAATGGTATCTTGGCTGCTGGAGTGTCATACCTTCTTTGTGCGACACGCCAAACATGCCAAGTGCTTCAACTCGCGATCGCTCTCAAACGGTGGTCTAATCACATGGGAGATAAATGGCTCCGATTCCGATTGAGTCGATACTAATGTCCCGAACATCCTGAAATTCGAACTAATGAACCTGTGCGGATACTCTCTTTGTCGTCTCTATATAAATCGCCAGCGAAATGTACAGAATACTGGACTTGGGAGGCCTCTCACCACCCACCAACGTCAAGTTCCAGCATGCCGTACATAAGCATCCTTTAGCAGCAATCCAACACAATCTTCTCCGCACGAAGGAACAGGTGTCTCCGGTGTCGCAACAAGCCACGCTGAGGACCTCGCCTCGCTCTCACCTCAGCGCTAATGCGATGTGTCCACGTTCTAAGCGCCGTGGCGGCGAATGGCCGGTCCACAAATTGAGTGAAGCAATTACCTGAAAGAGGAGAGGAGCAGACTGAAGGCGCAAGGATCTCTAACCCTGTCATCTGTTTGTGGTAAGCCAGAGCGAACGGGCCGAGCCAAAGAAAGAAACATCCGGGGAGAATAAGCAGAGGAAGAGGCAGTGGTGCGCAAGGGGGGATTGTCATGGTGGAAACGCCCGGAATCCATCAAACGCAAAAGGATTCAATCCTGGCCAAAGGATTTCCAGAAGCTTTTATCATTGATAATTTCTTCTTGTCCTGTTCGGATAATAAACGGGTCGATGAGTCAGATTAGCTGGTCGATCAGGGAGCTACTACGGTGGATATACTGATAAGCCCTGGTCTGATTATCCGGTCTGGACAATTGGAGCTGACGTTAGGAGTGATTCTCCGACGGATTCGGACAACCGGACCTTTGGATCCTGGGGCTCTTAATCCATCTATTAATGGCTGATGACGAGTAGCCCGCGATCGACGTACAGCCCAGCTGCAGCTTGTCCGCCCATCGGTTTCCCCCATTTCGGATGGCCCGAGCGAGAGCTACCGAGGAATGGGATAAAGCAACTAGACCAAAGCAATAATATGACAAGGATAGAAGACAGGATAGGCAAATAACCCTCACATAACATTGTAGTAGCAATGATGATCAGCATGGAAGACGGACACGTCGCTAGCACCATAGCCGGCCTGGCCTCGCTGCTACCGGGATCGTTCGAAGATTGGGCTATTTTCCTAGCATTATTGGTAAGTGCATTGCCTAATGTCAGGATCTGACGGCTAACTCGATCAGGGCATTGCCCTCCCCTGTCTTTGGGTTGTGTATTCTCTCACGTTGCACCCATTGGCAAAGTTTCCCGGACCAAAATGGGCGGCAATAAGCCAGGTGGGTTGTACATGCTCTGCGCTTGAGTGATGCAAATTCTGATGTGGAAAAAGGTATTCTACTGTCGCATGTCAATGACTGGGAAAATACATCTCCAATTAGAGGAACTGCATCGTCAGTATGGTATGTTTGGTTTTGCTTCATGTCACTGCCGACAATCCGATAAGGTATGGAGACCCGATGCTAATTGCAGAATAATGAACAGGGGACGTAGTCCGAATCGCACCTAACGAACTGTCTTTCGCCACGGCATCAGCCTGGAAAGACATCTATAACACCACTGGCAGTGGCACATTCATCAAATCTACTTTCTACAAAGTGGCCAATTTCGAAGCGTCTGATATCATTGGCGAATCGGACATCAACGAACACGCGCGGATGCGCAGACTCTGGGCGTTCGGGTTCTCAGCTAAGGCCTTGATCGCGCACGAGGAGCTTGAGCAGCGATATGTGGATCTGCTGATCAACCAGATTCAAAAGTTCGGAAGCAGTCCGCAGGGCATGAACGTCGTGGATTGGTTCAATTACCTCACCTTTGATATCATCGGGGAGCTGGTCTTTGGAGAGTCCTTTGGGGCTACGGAGAAGGGAACTTCGGCGTTCTGGATCAGTGTTATACTGGGAAATATGCAGGCGGGGGCGATTATTGATGTCTTGAGACGGTTTGGCATGGTGTTGGGGTTTAAGAAGGTCTTCGAAATTCTACCGTTCGAGAAGATCAAGGACATGAACCGACATACTCAGGTTACAAGAGAAATGGCTGCAAGGTAGGCCTTCATTGTGTGTGTTTACTGTGTTTGTGAGAGACCATTGCTAATTAGCGCACACATGCACGGGCAGACGTCTGGCGCGTCCCAAAGATGATTCGCGAACTGACTTTCTTTCTGCTATGCTGGAGAATGCTGGTCAGGGAGTAATATCGACTGAAGAGGTCGCAGCACAAGGGCAGAATCTGGTGTGAGTGTTGACTATTTCTTCGGCTACAGCGCATGGAACTGACGGAATTAGTATTGCTGGAAGTGAAACTACCGCGACGACTCTATCGGCAGCTACGTATTTTATCCTTAAGCATCCCGCGGTCTACGCCAAAATGCGGGACGAAATTCGCTCGCGGTTCAAAGATTATAGTGAGATCACTTCCAGTTCTGTCGGCCAGCTGCCCTACTTTCACGCCGTCCTCAACGAAACAATGAGACTCTACCCCCCGGTGCCTTTTGGACCACCGCGCATCTCTCCCGGGGCCTATGTGGATGGCCACTATGTCCCTAAGAAGGTCAGTGCTAGCGTGGATCAGCAAATCCAGCATTCCTGACATTCATTTAACAGACAGAGGTCTCGGTTCACGCATGGACCACCAACCGCGACGCCCGATATTTCAGTGACCCTACGAAATTCGATCCCGAAAGATGGTTAGATCCTAACATGGACGATAAGTCAGCCTTCTTCCCATTCTTGCTGGGCCCGCGAGTTTGCTTGGGACGGAAGTGAGTGCTCTCCTAATGTTATGGCATTCTCACCTGTGCTGACAAGTGGATAGCCTGGCGTTCATTGAACTGCGGCTGGTACTAGCCAAAGTTCACTTCATGTTCGACTGCGAGCTGATCAATAAAGATGTTGATCTCGAACGGGAGTCATTGAACTATATTCTCTGGCAGAAGCCGGACATTAATGTCCGATTCGTGCCGAGACAAACTTGATGATAGCGTAGTATGCCGTGGTCAGAGTTACGCGAATGTGTGCGAAGCTGGACATTTTTCCATAGATTAGCGGAAGAGAGGGAGGGCGCCCGCTTCCGCTTCGATTCGACTGTCGGGGACTTCTGTTCGTGGCCTCTGGGGATTCAATTAGCGGATGTCCATTCGCTAATTTCCCTTTCAGGCTCTCCGAGGGATGATCTTGGGGCACAGTCCCATAGAAACAACAATATATATATATATACCAATAGTAGATAGCAACTTCTTCCTGGTAATACCCCCCACCAACTTTGAAATATCAAGTACTTTTTTCTCAATAGTACTACACAATCAAGATGTCTTCGTCTCACTCGACCACCTTCAATACTTTCTATAACACCATCAATGGCACCCTCCGTACCTCAAACACCACCTACACCTCAACCAACCCAGCAACAGGCACCACCCTTCATGAAGCCCCAGTAGCCAGCTCAGCGGATCTCGACGAAGCCGTCATCGCAGCCAATGACGCCTTCCTCACCTGGAAAAGCACCACCTGGAAACACCGGAGCGAGCTCCTAACGAAGCTAGCCGCCCTGATCACGGAAAATGCGCCGTCATTAACGGAATTGTTGATCGCTGAGACAGGAAAGCCGGTATGCATGATACCGAACCCATATCAAACGTGTTCTAACACACATGAAGACGTTCTTAGCGCAAGCAGAAATCCAGATAGCTCAAGACACTCTGCTGCATTTCGCTTCACTTCAGCCCGTTGAAAATACAGTACTAGATGAGAATATCTCCAAGGTAGTACATACGACCTTTGAGCCGATCGGTGTGGTGGGGGCTATTTGTCCTTGGAATTGTACATTTTCCTCTTCCCCCCCTCCACTCCACTTACTGTCCCACTGATATTATATACTAATTATGAATAGTCCCCATCGCCATGCCCATGAACAAACTCGGACCCGCCATCCAAGCCGGAAACAGCATAATTCTCAAACCCTCCCCCTTCACACCCTACACGCTTCCCAAGATATGTGAAATCGCCCAACAGCTCTTCCCACCGGGAGTTATCCAATGTCTTGGCGGCAGCGACGACGAGTCGCACAATCTAGGAAGCTTAATGACGCAGCACCCGGGGATTGGGAAAATCTCCTTAACGGGGTCAGTGAGCACGGGGAAGAAAGTGATGGCTGCGTGTGCGGGGACGTTGAAGCGCGTGACGTTGGAATTAGGTGGGAATGATGCGTGTATTGTGTGTCCTGATGTGAAGGATATTGAGCATGTCGCGGGGGAGATAGTGCTCAGTGCGTTTTTGAATACGGGGCAGGTGTGTGTGGCTACGAAGAGGGTTTATATTCATGAGGATGTTTATGGAGTGGTGAGAGATGCGATTGTTAAGAAGGTCGGGGAGATGAAGGTCGGTGATGGTGCTGCTGAGGAAGGGGTTATGGTTGGACCGGTGCAGAATCTGATGCAGTTTGAGGAGGTTAAGGGCTTGATTGATGAGGTGAAGGAATTGGGGTATGATGTTTTGACGGGTGGGAAGAATCATGGCCTTGAGGGAGTAGATGAAGGCAAAAAGGAGGGGGGTTATTTTCTTCCCTTGGTGGTGGTGGATAATCCCCCGAGGGAGTCGAGACTTGTCCGTGAGGAGCAGTTTGTCAGTGTCCCCTCTCTTCTCTTCCGAATTATTAAATGTCTAACGATGGAACAGGGCCCCATCCTCCCCCTTCTGCGATGGAGCTCAGAATCAGATGTCATCCACTCGGCCAATGATACCCCTACTGGACTGAGCGCGAGTGTCTGGTCCAGTGATATGGCGAGGGCTCGGCGAATTGCCGCCCAGTTGGATGTGGGTAGTGTCTACATTAACAGCACGCAGAAGCCGAGCTTTCAAGGTTTGTTTGGAGGACATAAGGAGAGCGGAATTGGGGTGGAATTTGGGCAGGCTGGGTTGTTGCAGTATTGCAACGCGAAGTCGACGTATATTTGTTTTTAGGGCTCTGATTTGATGATGTTTACTACAGTACTTGTGGACGATCCTTAGTAAAGGGTGAATATTTATAAAGGTTTATTGTAAAGTATGAGGTGACTCTTGTAGCTTGTTCCTGAGGTGGCAAGCAGGGTGAGGTGTAAGCTCTCGGGAACATCAACTTCTTTAGATACGCAGATGCCTCATCTCTCCCTTCCCCCCATTCGATGAATACTGGCCGCGGCGGCCTGATGCAGCGCCGACACCCTGTCCAGCAACTCGCGATGCTCGCGCCACCCCCCAACGTCAATGATATTTTGTAACTTTGCCAGAAGCTTAGCAGTAGCTTGCATTCTTAACGTTAGTAATGTCTTGAGCACCTGGATCTCGTCTTCCAAGTCATCTGATCCCAAACTGTGATGGAAGGTCATTGGTGCCCTATGTGTCACGGGCTCCAGGCTACTACGGTGAGAGAAACCCGTTCTTTGGTCCGTGTAAGCGTCATTAGGATGCCAGTCCTTCAGCCGTTGATGGTTTGTGGTGGCGCACTGACGCTTAAGACAGATGATCAACTGGTGGCTGACGGAGAGGAGAATCATAGCGATGTGAGACTGTGTCCGGCACAGGGCGCATTCTGTTAGATTTTCACATTGATAGATTATCTCCTTGCTCCGATGGAGTGTATCCCGGGTGTCATGGCTATTTATCGTCGAGCGAGGTGCTGCGTCAAGTCGGTTGTAGAGAATTTGAGTGCGCTCATACAGAGCGAGGGCTTGGCTGGGGCAGTGACACTGGCTGGAAGGGGAGGTGGAGGCGCGTTCTACTCCTGGGTTTGAGAATACAGGAAGAATATCAATGCAGGCTGGCAGTCCGGGATAGTTGGGCTTGTGCCGGTCTCCACCCTTCAGTCAGTATGGACGGATAGCAGGGGGAAAATGACGGGGTTAAGTTCAATGACTTGCCTTGATTGATGTCTAGTAGAGACCCGTGGCTGAGAGCGTCTTCCAGGCTGGTTGATAGAGAGCCGGTTGGTAGAGCAGTGCTCAGATCCAGGGGAGCCTCTAAGCGGGATATATCCTCTGCGTCTGGCGTAGAGGACAAGCCCGTATCGTAGAAATCGGGTAGGTCAAGAAATACATCCCCGTCCATCTCTTCTTCGCCCACATGTATGTGACTGGGCGCTTGTACCTCCTGGTTACGTGGTTCTGGGGACCTTTGTCTGCCGCTGGCGCTGCTGTTCGTCGGATGACGGGAGGTATCTGACACAGCAGACTGGGAACGCTTGCTGCGTTGCTTCCTGGCCGAGCGAGAGGCAGATTGATCTGGGAAGACACAGGACAGATTCTTCATCTGACACCGTTGACAGCCCGTCTTTTCCCCCGAGCACTTGAGCTGGAGGGCTTCTGTTAACCGAGGACGCTGCAGTGGCGTAAGCTGAGGGCTCACCTTTTTGGTTCGACAGGCCATGCAGGCCAAGTGAGGGGTTCTTGCATTGCGGTCTGTCTGAAATGGAGGATCGGTGACCTGGACAATGTAGGAAGCCTGGGTAGAATGGTCCTGTGATAGCGTCCCGAACATTGAGATAGTTGGAGAAATATTGTGGGGGGGGAGTGCAAGACGATGAAGGGCTGTGGGCGGTACTCCTCATTCTATTAGTTTAACCAGGATATAATCATGTCATGGCGGGAAAATGTATCCGTGCAGTTTGCTTCCACGCATAATAGCTTCGGACCCCATGTATACTCAGGGCCGATCACTACCACGAACGGCAACAGATTAGACGGAGGGAAAGGAAAGCGGGGGACGAGGATCCAAAGACTCCATCCACTCGAATACACACTCAGCACGGACAAGAGCTAGAACCATTTATGGAATGCTTTAATAACTGAAAAGAGTAATTGTTGGATGGTCAGAGTCCAATTACCTTGGGAATGGTTATCTGACTAAATTGTGTTGCATGAATCTATGCATAAGTGCTTGTCAGAGCCTCGTCATGCACACACGCATAGCCCGCTCCCCTGCCAATGATTCTTTAGTGCTTATTTATCTGAAGATAAAAAGTACATCCGCTGTCTTTCCGCCCCTGTGAGCGTCATCCTTCAGCTTCCCTTTCGGGGGTTGCTAGCGAGGTGCTTACATCTTGGCAGTTGGGTGTTTATTGTGTCAGATCCACAGCTCAGAAATTTGGGAGGCCTCTGGCTACCCAAATCGCCATCCTATCGGCCATTCGAAACCAAGCATCTACTATTCGACAGATGATCCGTACTGCACAGGCCCACTGCCCGAGCTAACAAGGACCACCCGATGATAAGGGCTTGGTGATGGATGGTCAAATGCAGGATGACAATCCGGTATCAGGCTGTGACCCTCCCTGGTACCTCTGATCAGTGAGGACCAGTACCGGAGACACCCCATTATTCGCCTGCCAATACCAAATGCCACTGCGCCATCCCGGTCGCACTGTACGGCGTCCTTGTGAAGTTATCCGCCAGCTCGGTGGTGAAGCGATCTGGATTAGCGCGCGGGGTGATCCACTGCTCCACCGGCAGATCGCTCCAACGCGTGGTCCGTGGCAACATAACATCGAATTTGTCCTAATTCGGGAAGAAGGATCATGGGCAATGCCACATCGTATTCACTGCGCCCCAGAGTGAGGACCCTGAATGGGGTATGTCTTACAACCCCGGACGGGGCCTGTAGAGACAGCAGCTACGGCGGGAGATGGTTGTGATGCATGTAGCTGGCTGGTTGGCAAGCAATAAGCGAAATGATCCGTTGCCCGAGGCTAAGCCACCAAGTTCCTCTCCGAATACCTCGCAAAGCCCGGGACCGTGACCGTGACAGCCAGAGAAAGGGAAATGCAGAAAAAGAAAGAGAAATCTTCACATTACATAATCCCGAGCACAGGACCGGTTCTTCTGATGAGGGTTGCTGTAGAGAAGGCTCGTCAGCGATTCCTGTCTTACAGTCTTTACCGCAAGACACCCATCTCCCAGCCCCGAACAGGCCTCGAGTTATCAACATGTATACCAAGAATTCCGTAAAAGGAATGATTGAAGGATTGCACCCCTGGACTGGAGGTCTTCCCGTGCCGTGTGAGCAATCAGCGCTGCCACAAAGCGCCCATGAGCTGCCGCGAAAAACATGGCCATCCTTCAGGAATGCTCCTCGCTTACGCACCGCTGCCTTTGGTATGTTGTGGAGCACATTCAGATGTGTAGCAATACGCTCCGGGCATTGCGATAACCGTTGCCTTCTCCAGGATTGTGGTATTGGCGACCGGAATCGTAATATGAGGGTCAATCCTGAGCGTTTGGTCCGAATGTGTATGGAACCTGACATGAGACGGTAGGCTCCAGCTTCTTTCTGGAACACTAATCTGGTAAATTCAAACAGCCTGTCTATATGCCAACTGTATTGTTATTAGGATTCGCCCTCCAAACACTGTCGGGTACATACTTGGTCCATATTAGAGTAGTTCCTCACGTTTGGAATCTATAGAACTTATCTGACAAATATTTGTACACGGCACGTGGCTTTATCGATAGTAAATCTCTCTTATGAATAAAAATGAGACGCTGGAATTTAGTACAAAGATTTATTGAAAGAGTAAGTGGGGATGGAGGCAAATGGTTCTATCACAACCCCCGTTAAAAATACATCAAACTGGCCAAGAATGGAAAAGGAACACCCAACGAGGTCAATGAGACCAGAAATGGGCCCGAACGCTCTCGGCGCTACCAATCTGGGTCAGTCCGAGAATCATCGTCGTCATCTTTAGTAGCTAGGTGATTTAGG